GTATTCGACCAAGGTTTGAAAGCTATTTCGCTAAGCGTCGACCTCTGGCTCCATTACATCAACCACTGTAAAACCGTCTATGAAAAAGATGAAGAGAAGCTCCGGGAGCAGTACGAACGAGCCATACAAGCTTGTGGACTTGAGTTCAGGTAATATAAATCTAAAATTTTCTTCTAAATCTATATTTGCAGACATATTTTGATTAGCTTGTATGTCACATCGTATTACATCGTTCATTTGCTGTAACAACGGCATAACTCAAAAATTGTCATTTGAGTTGCTTGCAGAAAAAGAACGGAAGTATAAAGAAAATAAGAATGAACATACTTGTGCGTGTGCGTGTGCGTGTGCGTGTGCGTGTGCGTGTGCGTGTGCGTGTGTGTGTGTGTGTGTGAAAAGAAATATACTTTTATTCTCCTACAATCAATTATTATATCAAAATTGCATAACAAATTTAATATTATAATATTTTAATCATTTAAAACTTAATCATTTCAAAAATTGAAATTTATTTTCCAGAAAACTTTGTTTTTTTTTAGTTATGTTGCAGTAAATAAGCGATTATTGTTCATAGAAAAGTGATAAATTTCTTTAGTATTTAAAGCTATATAATTGCGTTTCGTTATATTTACTGCAGGTATTGAAAAGCTAGTATGTGTAAAGTGAACAATACATTTTAGTATTCATAGTAAATAAAGGACACCTTCATAGTATATTTATAAAGATGTATTTATAAATAAACAATTAGCAGATATTGAAAGAATAATATATAATATAACAATTTAACATAAAACAGATCGGATCGTCTTTGGGAGAGCTACATAAAGTGGGAATCAGAGGGAAAACGCTTGAGCAGAGTGACAGCGTTGTACGATCGTTTACTATCAACACCTACTCTTGGTTACACCTCCCACTTCGAAGCCTTCCAGGAATTTGTGTCATCCAATTTGCCAAATCGTATACTAAGTGTGGACGACTTCCTTGCACTACGTGCTGAGGTAAAGGCCCTCCTCAAATCAGATGATGCCACTGCGACTTCCGCTGCAGATGATGCACCACCCGGCGAAGAACCACCGCCTCACGAGGTACCACCTACTGATGAGGAGACTCGTGCCATCCGTGAGAAGATTATTAGCAGCAGGCGCAAAATGCATAAAGCAAACGTCAATGCGGTAGCAGCGAGATGGACGTACGAAGAAGGGGTACATGATATTTGATTATAATTATATTCATTATGATCACACTTTAATAGTTTAGTTATTAGTAAAATGAGACTTCTTTTAATTTCAATACGTTGAATTGTTTCACTGCTATATAAATGGAAAAAAAGTTCTGACTCATTTCGATCCCTCACCGTAGCTCTACCTAATCGCGCAGTAAATGTGGATTCGTTGTAGTACAGAAGTCAATCTTTTACAATGTTTTATGTTGTAAGTAAAAAAGTATACTCCAAATTAAAAGATTTGGATTCATTAATTAATTTCACTTTGAAGCACAATTCAAATTAATTAACAGTCTAGGACAATTAGTTTATAATCTAATTATATGATGTATAATTAACAGATAAAGAGACCATATTTCCATGTAAAACCATTGGAACGGTGCCAGTTGAAAAACTGGAAGGAGTACCTAGATTTCGAGATTGAACAAAAGGATCAAAATCGGATAATCATTTTATTCGAGAGGTGTCTTATAGCTTGTGCACTTTATGATGAATTTTGGATGCGAGTAAGTAGACATCAATCAATATTACATGTATGCTGATTCTTGTTACTACTTAAAACATATAATTAGAAATATCCCTTATAATATAAATAATTTTTATTTTTTCATTTGTACAGTTTGTACGTTATTTGGAATCGCTGAAGGGAGATAACACAGAAAAAATTCGAGATGTATATTCGAGAGCTTGTATGGTACATCATCCAAAGAAACCGAATTTGCACTTGCAATGGGCTATCTTTGAAGAGGGCCAAGATAATTTCGAAACAGCTGCGACTATATTAGAGAATATTGATAATGTATTACCAAATATGCTACAAGTGGCATACCGACGGATAAACTTGGAACGCCGTCGTGGAGACTTGGAAAAAGCATGTATCTTGTATGAAAATTACATTACCAATAGCAAGAACAGAACGATTGCTAATAATATTGCTGTAAAGTACGCGCGATTCTTGTGTAAAGTCAAGGATGACGTTGACAAGGCAATTAAGGTGTTAATGAAGGTACGTTTAAATATAAAATTAATTTTCATCTCGACTATGTATTACGACGATTTGTGTTAAAATATTAATATATATTTATTAACACAACATATATATGTTGCATTTTTATACAGGCCACAGAGAAAGATAAAGACAATCCCAGGCTATATCTGCAATTAATAGATTTGGCAATGCAACGAACGCCAGTTGATACTCAAGAAATAGTAGGCTACATGGATATGTTTATAGAAAGAGAACATGCAGATCTTGAACAAAGAGTGCTTTTTGCGCAACGTAAAGTGGAATTCCTGGAAGATTTCAGTCCCGACATCCGGCAAGTGTTGAAGGCTCACGAACAATTCCAGAAATGCATCAAGCAAGCGAAAGAGAGAAAGAAGACGAAGAGTGACGATAACAAAACGTAAGTATCCGTAGAAAATCTAAAATGAAGATATTATTAAGGAGATTAATCTTATAAAGTAGTTTTAAATATTTTACCAATTGAGTATAATGAAAATATTTTAATAGAGTATTCGAGTTCAGTAAATATATTAATGTGAAAAGATTAAAACACAAATATTGCTATTAAATATAATTAATGTATAAATATAATTAATACATACATTTTGATTTGTACCATTTACTTGAAATTGACACAATACATCATTTACTTTTTACGTTTATGAAACATATCGAAATATATACTTAGAATATATCAAAATTTCGATAGAAAATTATCTTATATTGCTGATTTGTTACAGCGATTCTTCGCCTCCGAAGAAGAAAACCGACCAGTCGAATGTACCACCTTCGCCATCCGTGGGTTCGCAGTCTTCATACCAATACAGCAGCGGTCCGAGCGGTCCTTATCAATCACAACAACAGTTTCAGGGCGGACAATATGGTGGTCAGGGCGGCTATCAACAAGGTTACCAGCAGTATCCACCTCCATCAGACCCCAATTATGCTAATTACCAAAATTGGCAGTACGGTCAAGGTGGACCACAGGCTTATGGACCTTATAACCAGTGGGGATCTTACAATTATTATTAATATCAGTCACATAATTGTCCCTAAGACTATCATACTGTTAATTGTGTCCTACTGTACATTCTCTAGCTTTTATTCTATCGATTTCGAAGTGAGCAGACGAAGGAATTAATTGTTTAAATACCTTGATATCCTTTGACATGTGAAAGCTTATGTGTCAAGTGTTTCTCTCTATATATCAATAATTGATATCTAGCATGGATATTTAATATATGAATAAACTGTATACCGTTAACAGAATTTTATTCCTGGCATTTGTTTACATGGCTATTTTATATTGCATTTTAAAATAATGATACATTAACTAATCAATTATTAACAATAGATAATAATTGATTAGTAATTGTTTTATTACAATATCTTTATCTTATATAAATTATTATAAAAAATTCAAATAATAAAAAATATGATATTAAATTTTCACTAAAAAAATGAACAAATAAAATTCCTGCTAGTGGTGTATAGTTCTTTCAGAATTTTTTGTGTGTTCACATAACTTGAAAGCGTTGCAGCTTTATAGCGTTAAATGTGAAGATGGATTTCTCGAATTACATCCACGGTTCTTAATAAATTATAGATTCCGAAATGATTGTTGCATAATGTCAACGAAGTTACATTTAAGAAACGTGTTGTATCTTACGCTGCGTCATGTTGGATATATTATGGTACATAACACTTCCAAATTTGTGTAAAACATCGACTTATTTAAATCGGTTACTACTTAATTATATAATTTTATGAAAAAATTCGTGATCATTGCAGATCATAATTTTCTATATTCTTTATTAAATTTGTTCGCATCGAGCTCTATTTTTTTGAACAAACTCTGTTCGACATAGAATATTAAGAAGCATCTTTCATTAATCAATGTTGAAGCTATTCTGTATCACTGTTTCTTTTATTGAAGATTATTTTGACATATGTAGAATGTGTATCGATTACATCTCGATATTCGGTAAGTATCGTTATAAGATTTAATTAAAGATTAATAATATCAAAAAATGCTTTTTCATTATTTGAAATAATAATACTAGTAATAATATAATGAAAAAATAATAGTTTTTATAATTTTATGATTATTTCGATATATATTTAAATTTTTCTAATATACACCAGTATATAACTTATAATTAAAACTTGGTGAAAACAAATAATTTTAGTCTTTTCTTTTTTATGTCAATTTTGTAATTTAGCATAATTACGTCAAGGAAACAAAATTTTATAAATTTCAGATATGTTTCTCAACACGTCATTGTAAGGATTTTAGAATCTTATTTACGTTTCGAATATATTTACTTGCGTTGATTTCAGGTATATTAAATTGATATGGTTTCGCATAATAATCTTTATTGCGTTTAATAAAAATCGGATTCCTACTTATTTCTTTGTTTCGTTTACTTATAAATTATTTTTTTTCGCTTTTTGTTTCAGTTAATAAATCGCATATAAAACTATTTTCCAGGACCTAAGCAAAGTTAAAAATCTGTTATAAAATTTTTCAAAAAATGCTGACGGTCTGTAACAAACTTAAAAACTGTGAAATATAAAAGTATCTTGGGGAAAGGGGGTACACTTTCATTTTTTACTTACTGATTTTTATACACGCAATTAAAACTACTTTCTATATTGCTGAAGTTTCAACATCGTAGCATATTTTAACACACTTTAAATATTTGTATATATATTATCCGTATTATTTTATAAAGAGATTTGCAAAACAAATTATATAATTTAGTTTCGATCTTTTCAACAGAATAGGATTGTCGTAAACGATTTTCTTTTGAACACCGTTTTTCTTTCCTAATATATAGATATGCAAAAAATTAAACTTAGCTTAAATTGCACAACATATACTTAACTAGCTCCAGACGATTCATCCGCTTGCCAGATATTTGCACAAGCTGAACGTCATATTGAGTGAATACTATAATACATAGTGTAGATTGACAATGTGATCAAGTCGCGTTCATTAAATCTTTGACAAGCGAATGGATATAGTTTCAAAATCGACGTTAATTAGTAGAAAAGGATATCTCTCTATATGTATGTATGTATAATGTATAACTTCGTTTGGAACGATTATAAGTTAATTGTCATGGAAAACTTATTTAACGTAGCAGCGTTAAACAACCACGGCACTCGAGGCCATCGTGTTAAGTCCGCAAGTGCCATCCCCGCGGTAAACTCTGTAATATCCCTGTTCACCCCAAGATTTTCCCCAGCTGTTCTTGATGATCCAATACGGTAGGTTTCTGTGGAAAAGTGGATAGCCTGAAAAGAGAATATTAGATATAATATATGTCATCTACATCCATCACACTCAATAATATTAATGTTAAATTGTAAACCTTCGAAAAGATGTGTGAAAAAATGTAGCATCTTTTAAAAAGAACGTTGATTTTTAGTAAAAATACGCATTTTTGAGATTACTGTCTCTATTATATATGTACGTATTAGCAATAGATATAAAAATATAAGATTATTAAGTTGTAAAATCATAATTATCCAAGATGATAATTAAAATTAATTTCTCTGGATCTTTGTAGAAAAGAAAATATAACATGAGCTCTACTTTTTTTGCTATGTTTTTCAAATATTTTTCAACCGTGTGTTCAAAACTATCTTACAGAAATCTAATATTGATCAATTTAATTTATAATTTATAATTTTTTATACTGAAAGGCGATAATTGATTGCTTATTTTAAATATTAAAGCACTGTTGTTCAGTGCTCTTAGTACTCCAAATAAGTAATTAATTATTGTCTTTCCAGTAATAAAGTGATCGATATTAGATTTCTGTGAAGGTATTTTAACGCAATACGTACGACTTGTTCCATATCCGACGATTAGCACGCCATGATCCAGATTCTTGGGATTGCACAGGAATTTGAGGGGATGCGAGACGCCACCCATATAAAACTGCATGGCATTAGCATTGATGCCGATGGCGACTGGACCGTTTTGCACCAACCACTGTGCTATTTGCGTCTCGTTCGATGTAATATTGACAGCGGAGGTCAATTCTACCTTCACCAAATTCTGCTTGAAATGGCATTTCTCGTTTTCCGCCTCATACGGATAGTCTGACTCCAGTTCGAGACCGCCCAGCTGCTCGATGGCTCTATAGGCGTTATCGGGTAGGCCGCCGTTACAGCCCTCATCAAGATCATCGCAATCCACCAGTTCCTGTTCGGACAGAGACAACAGCTGGCCGTGCTTGATTGCGTATTGGCCCTCGACGTTACCCGTCACCGAAAAGGCCCAACACGAACCACATGAGCCTTGATTCTTCACTGGAGTCACGACGCCTTTCTGTCGCCAGTCGAAGCTGGGTGATAGTTCGATATCCGGGATCTCGGCCTTGGGTAGAGGTATCTCGTTCTCCGATTGCAAATCGAGTCGTAGACCGAGATAACGTGTGCGGAATTCCTTTTGCGACACATCGGCGAACATGTTCACGCCGTAGACGCCGGTTCCCTGCTCGTTCTTCTGTAACATCTCTATCAACTTGAGATTCTCGCGGAATATTTTAAATCGCTGATTTCTTTCCTCTGCCGAAGAGTACGTTCGATTGTAGGTCGTCACAAAGATGTCGAATAGCCGCTCGGCCTTTATGTCCTCGGAGATCCGCAGCATCTTGTTGCTGTAATTAACGCCCCGCAGGGATCGTTTCCTTCTGCTATTTTCCGGCGGAGGGCACGTGACCGTTATATCAGGCGAACCCTGATCGAGCCATGGTCGCGACCACACCTTTATCAGACACTCCTTCACCCCAGCAGCCTTCCTTGGCGCCCTTTAAACAATCACTGTCGCCCAGTTTAACTTTGATCTTGTAAAGATGACCAGCGACCACCTGGACACTCGCTTCGGTGATTTCTACTATGAGAGGCTCGTTTGGGCTGTCTGATTCTTTGGAAATTTTCTGCAGAGCTTTTTGAGCAAAGAGTTGAACATTAGAATTGTTTATGGACGTTGTTGTAGGAGCACCAACCAAGTTCTGAGCAGGCTCCGAACGCTTCCTTCTGTTATTAACGTTTTCTCTATCGTTTACCTTTTCGAGCTTCAGATCCTCCACGGAAACCTTCTTTCGCAGAAATTTCTCTTCCTTGACTTCTTTTATAGCTTCACCTGTATTGGGTGTAGCATCTTCCACCTTGACAGGCAGATCAAAGTCCTCTAAGAATTCTTTGAATTCTTTTGCTTTGTCCGTAAAACTCGAGATCTTTTCGTCGTCCTGACTCTTATTCAACACTACCTTCATGATAGCGGATTCTGTGACCTCAGCTTCCTCGGGTTCCTTTGAGGGTGTCGAAGGCGCGAGGGTATAATTGTCTAAAATTTCCTTCAAGCCTTCATACATCTCAGCTGTCTCAGTGTGAGATGGTTGTCCTTCGTTATACTTGACCGTCACAAAGGATTCGCTCTCCAAATTTGATCTCCGATTTTGGTAAATGGCACTGGACACGTTCTCGGGATCTGTACAGTTATTCTTAGTAATCCTGAGAGACGACTGTTGCCACGGTCGTTGCTCGAACGTGACCAGGCACAACTTGGTTGGAACGGTCGAATAGAGCGTTCTTCAGACATTCAGACTCGCCTATCAGCAGTAACAGCTGATACTCTATCACGTTGGACGAGACCGGTACCGAACGGGTGACTCTTACGATGCTCATTAACTTGTGCTTGTAATCGCTCGTGGTCTGCTCGTCCATTGATCTCAATGCTTGATCACCGAAGGCAAGGAGACCTGGCAGATTCGGATTCAGCTCGTACGGACAACCTGGACAATAGTTGTTCCCAGAAGCGCGCATAGCGATGAACGGTCTAACGTTCTCATCGCCGGTCTCCTGAATCTCGTGATCCAATTCCACGCTTCGATTGTTGTTCACCTGTTCGGTCAGACTCTCCTGAGTGACCTGAGTGTCCTCCTGCTCCTGATAATTCTGCTGCTCCTGTGACATGTCATTCTGCGCATCAGCTGGATAGAAGTACATACACTGAATGGAATCATTCAGCGTCTCTATGTCGCCGTACTCGTCTTGTTTCAGGTCAATAGTACAGGCCTCTCTGGGACAGGACGTTCCGCATATTGGACGCAAGTCGTACGTGAATTTGTATACTTTGTAAGGAGGCTCATCCTGCAATAATAATAGAGTTATTTACATGAGAAATAAAACGCAAATCATTATCTTAAAATTAAACAGACTTATTGATATCATTATTATTGACTAAAATAATAGATCTAGTTTACAATTTTAGTTATTGAAGCGATTATTCTGCTGTTGTAATATGAAACTGGAATGCATAATATTGTATACTTAAAATCTGTTGCGCATTAACAATTCCCACATTTCTTTAGCTAAGTACAGCTTGGCCTGAGTACAACTTGGCCTGATAACCCAGAACGTTATTATCTCAGTTTATCATTGCCTCCGAACATATACATAGAAACATACGAATGTACCTTGACACGCATTAATAGAATACATTCGCACATTGATATGTCACATGATCGGAGAAATAAAATGAAATATTATCTTATCCCTGTTTTTCAGAAGCAGTTGTGCTTAATATCACCCTTATCAAGGAAATAAAATAGTTACAGAGTCCAGAACAGTTACAAATTTTTTACTAAACAAATTGCAATTTTGATGTATTTGTTTTCTTTTTCTAAATAATAATGTCAATTATTTACATCAGTTGAATATTACGCGGAACATTACGTTTCTTGAAAGAATCCAGTAAATATTATCTTAAAACGTCTCGTGATTCTCAGAGAGAACATTCATTAAACATGTCCTTTCAAGAAAACAAATCAAAGTCATTATAATCATGCAATCACTTGATGTCTCAATCCTTGTTATTAGATTCTTATTTTTCATTCCATAAGATTATATCTATAAATAGAATCCAACACATGCAATGCTTATAATTCGTTCTTTATTGTATTGAAAAATAAAAAAAAAATTTTTTTACCTTTAGAACTTTATAGACTTCTTTGTGACATTCTCAAATAATTATTTTGAAGAAAAAAAATATTATTACTATGTCTATACTAATAATATAATCCAATTGCTCAATCCTTGGCCTGATTACAATTTAATTTTCATCACATTGATAATAGCAATTAATTCACAATTTAATTTTCATCACATCGATAATAACCTGGCGATAAATTTACAGGAATCTCATCTTTGCTTTCTGCAAATATTTAATTATTTATTCGAACAAGTTAAATTACGCAGCAGAAAAAATTATCCTCCGCCCTTCAACGCTACATGTTGCGAACTTGAGACGCATTATATTTGCAAGCGAGGTCTTTCCCGTTGCTGTCATCGCCAAACAAAGAAAGGTTGGCTCATCGACTCATGTTCGTGTCAGCATTGTCGGCTCTCGCGACACTCGTACGACTGCGTCGAAAATGAAAACAAAAGCGCTGCAACGAGGCATGCGATCGAAGCTTCCCTCGATTTTCCCCGAAATATCCTGACTCTCCGTGGAAGTCGCGCGACGTCGAGCGAGACGTCAGGTACACGGACTCACCAATTCCTGCGCATTTATTAGATTGCCATGCGCGTACAAGTGATGCGTCGGAGAGTGATCGTTCAGGGCTCTCCACGCCTTCTCCGACAGTTGCGACGATACCCGGTTCAGGGGGATGTTCACCGGGTTCGACCGCACCATCTGCGCGACCAAACAGACTAGGTAGAGGAGCGCGAGATAACCCGCGCGGCTTCGTTCTGCCATTTTGCGAGACGCGCGTCGTCGCGCTCAACTCTGCTCAGGATCGACCGTACTAAACTCTCGAATGACGGATCGGGACCGTCTATAACTGATCTCCGACTGTCAGCGACTGACTTGGACTGACTGACGTTCGGACGCTCGGCGTCACTCCGCGAATCTGTCGTCTGTCCCTCTCACTCCTCGCCACTCTCAGCTGCAGTGAATTACTCTGGATTACCCTTCCAAACGCTCGAAAGGAGACGGACGATAATCGGATACTGTCAAAATCTATGAGAGAAAGAGAGAGGGAGAAGAAAGTACAGAAGATGCACACTTCGTAGATTCTTTTTTTTTTACAGTGGCGGAAGTGATTAGAAATCTATTTGCACATTTTTGCGTCATTTATGCGTAAATATAAATGCATACATATGTTTTAGAGGACAAAGGAGAAAGAAGAACACAACGTTGCTGCTTCTAGCTGTTTCACTTATTCCTTCCTTTCTTTTCTATTTAATTTAAATTTCTCCATGTAGGAAAGAAAGATGAAACAAAGTGAATCTAATTATACGACAATTAAGACAATATACGAATACGATTTTAATCGGATTCTTCAATTCTCTTAAGATTTTCGAAAAATTAAATGAAAAAATCATAGGTACATATTACATTCTTTGTTTCAAGTAGTAGTTTTTGAGTCTCTGTAAAATTGACACCTTATATTTTCAAAAGTCGGAGATTATTATTAATAGATTCATATATCATATATTCACATATATTTTTGCTGCATAGAAATGATATATATATATATAATATAAAGTACACGCTTGTATTAAAGAAAATGAAAAGAGGTATGTAAAAAATATATCTAAAAAGACTCATCTTTTAATGAAAAACAACAATATTATATTGCGTCTCCCCAAAGCGATTATTTAATTTCATTTAACTTGTTCTGCAGCAAGAGTTTTTCAGGAACTGTTACATGGAGATATAAAAAAATATGTGTAGTTTTTGAATAAATATGCTTTTATTTACAGTATGTTTGCTTAGCAATTAAACACGGGAAATCTGTCAAATTATACATATACGAGTATATGATTAAATTCAATTTTGACGCGCACAGCTGAGTTAAATTTTCCTTGCATTATACGCGTTCGTCAATTGTTTGATTGCGTTGAATCTGTAAATTGGATAAATACACGCTCGGCGACTTAGCACGAATGTATATACATTATACGTCATTATTCTGTCGTTACTTTGAATCTGTTTAGTTAGTTATCTTTAAAGAAACCAACAGAGGATTATGTAAAAAAAGACATCTTTTTATTACTTTGTAGTATTTTTATGCTATCTGGGAAGAAAGTTTCCAAAAAGTTAAATAAAAAAGTTATTTATAAATTTTTATTTTAAGCAATAACTTGTAAATAATAAGGCTTTAATATGATCAATTACAGATTACGTTTAAACGCCGAAGTGCGCATTCATTATTAATACTATTGCACGCACGAAAAATTAATTTTCTCGAAACTTGCAGTGCCACGCGAAGTTGAGACCTCATATTTAATTTTTTTTTTTAGCTAATGCTATCTGTTCCAACACTAAATATTCATACAAAGTTCGATTCATATTCTCAGTATGCCGAATATTTCGAAACAATAATACAGGGTCCAGAGTGACCAAATTATTGACAGTCGTATAAAAATCTCCGAACTGAATGGAATCAAAAATCCTCTTACAGGATTAAAGTAAACGCAAAATTAGAAAGTGGTGCAGTAGACTTTATACTAAAATTGAAAAAAAGTTAAGTAAATTTTTAACTTTGGGTGGAGGATAGCTAGTCCGTAGATCATGTTATAGCTACCCACACCATAATTATGCTGTCGAGTGACTACGATGCGCAAGCCAGAAATTTACAGCAATTGACATTTCGCTTTGTGTGTAAAATTGGACTCCAAGATAAAAACACATAAAATTATTATGTGTTCTTCATATTAAAATTTTGTTTAAAAAGTGATTCAGGGACGATCGAACTTGAAATTTCTGGAAAAATTAAAATTTTAAGGAATATATATAGAAAATTCTCGGAATATTTATAACAATATTATAAATGGAATTTTTAACCGATATTTGAATGTTGCTTTTACATTTCGTAAATACTTAGGAATATTCCGGAATACTCATCTTGGAACGTGGGGGGATGTTAAGAACTTTTCATGAATATTTCAGGAATATTTAGCGTGCTTAGGAATAGTTAGCTGAGGTATAATTTGCGCGAGAACGAACATAAATAATTAAAGGAGAAGACAGAGTTCAGCATACGCTTTACTAAAAATAATTATTCATTGTTTCTCGCGTATGACACGTGTCGTTAGTCTGCGTGACGTGTTAAATACAGCTAGGATAATATATCTGGAATCTGAAATAATGTGTATGTAATACTGTGTCATCAAAAACATGGAGAGAGCATGGCATATCTGAAATACGAGAGAATAAAATAAATTAAGTAGTATCTATCTGACTGTCACGCTCTAATTGTTTGTCACATTATCGATAATTAATTTTCATCGTGAAGAGAACCGATGAATTTTTGCAATAGAATTATAGAATTGCATGTAATATATAAAAATAATTCACTTACAAGAATATTTTTTTAGGTATAAAATAGAAATAGAGAGACAGTGAGAGAAAGAGGTATCAATTATTTTATAATATCATTTTTCATAAAATATAGAATTTTTTAGCTCTTCACGAAATTTTTACTATCCGACGTACATAATAACTGAATTATCCACTGTTAATCGATAAAAAGTATTTGTTAAGTATTTTGTTGGATGGCAGCACACGTCTAGTCAGAGAGAAACCTGAGAGAGGACATGAGAGCCTTTTTCCTGTAACCGCAAAATACTCTCTATGAAATGTAAAAGAAGCATTCACACTTCTTTTACATTTTGATGTTTCAATTTTTGCCTCCTAGAAGTTTACGCTTCTGTTACTCTCTCATTAAATTCGATTTACGCTCTGAGTTTTATTTTCACCAGGGATTCAACATAAAGAATATAATCTTATTTAATCGAAAAGTATTAATCAAAAGTATTTAAAAAAATATTAATTAATCTTAATCCTTATTATACCAGATTGAGTCACTTATAGTAACCGAACGATTTTTGTTCGTGCAAGTTTCTTTGAATCTTTCGATAATTATAAATTATACTACATTTTATTATTTTCCAAAATGAAGTTTTAATATTTATTCTAAAAAGTTAAAAGGATGTTGGTGAATTTTTAGAAATTTTTTTAACTATTTTTTGAATATGTGAAAAAATGGATGAATTCTAATGATAGAACATGGAAAAGTGATAGACATGGAAAAGAAATAAAAACTTTTTTATAATTTATTTACAATAGTAAATACATAATTTAAAACACGTTATGCACAGTCCTGGATTTCCTTCAGAATAAAGGATATATGCTCAACGTACATTAAGTGAAAGAAAATAATTTATAATTATTTTTGATAAATGTTCAGTATAGCATCCCCCTCAGATTGTCTTGTAATTTTGTGTGTATTTTTATGCGTAAATATATTCCGAGAAAGAAAATTGTTGCTCAAGTTTTATTTTTTTATTATTATTTAATTTCAAAATTTTTTGGCGTCGGTAAATTGGAAAATAATCATTTAACCAACAAATTAATAAATTCCTAAAAATAAAGTACATATTTTCTGGTTTAATTAATTAAAAGCACAAATTTTCTTACATAATTTAAATCTTAAAAAGAAATGTATACGAAAAACTAAGGAAATACTAAGTATACGTTACGTATACTGTTTTATTACGATCAGATCGAATCATCTCCTTAACTTGGTGTTTAGAATTCAATAAATCTGCCATTGCATTGTAAATATAATTTATCTACTACTTTTCCCGGATTAAGAATCCCGGGATAAGACGTGAATGACAGAATCATGGACAGAATTAATATTTAACACAATTGAAATATCTAAGATATAAATGAGAGTTGTGTGCCTAACGAATCTAAGAAATAAAGAAAAAACCGTGTAATAAAGACTACTCATTTGAGAATATTAAAAATGTAACGAATAAATTAATTATTTTACTTATTTTGTAATATGGCGTTAATATTTCGACAGTTATAGAATATAAATTATCGGCGCGCGACCTTGGCGACTGTTTTGCAGAAGGGGGAACGGACGGCGAGGCGCGACGCGTCACGTTTATGCGTTTACCGCGCAGTCATTCCATTACCGAGACTCTTACAGGCAGGTCGTGTCGCGTGCCCGCTCTTCTTTCACACTTCTTTTTGAAACGTAATCGCGACAAATGCTATATATAATACAAAAGTTGTACTTTATATTCACAGTATACAATTACTAGCTCGCATGATTGATTATTCATACCATTTTATCTTTTTTATTAAAAGTATATATTTTAAATAACTTTATTTTAAATACGACTGAGTCCTGTAGTATACGTATATAGACTTGACTTTATATTACGCGATAAAAAATATAATTTATAAATTAGTATTTTTCGTCGCGGAATGAAACAATTTCTTATATCGGTTTTCTCAAAACTTAACTTTCTAGTTTTAGCGGCGTGAGTTGTATGTGATACCATCATTATATAGTTATATGTACTGACAAAAAGCAAGGGGTAAAATGTGGTTTGCTAGCGTAGTTTTTTTACATAATTGCTCACGAGAAGTGTTTCTGACACATTAGGTATACCTCGATTTTTATTGCTCTCTTTAATGATTTATAATTAAATTGATAATATGTTATACATTCTTTAAATAAAGATAAATGCAAACATCTTTTTTAAATTATGAAACAATTTGAACTTAAATAGAATAATATATGTATATGAATAGCATTCACAAACATTTAGAGATAAATAATTTAAATATAATTTACCTATTACTTATTCCGGATTAAGAATGCTAAATAACACACGAGAGTGACAGAATTAAAACGATTCGAAAGTAACAAAAAGCCGCAAGGAATCAATCTTTTATTAAAATCATTACGCGGATTTCATGTAATAAAAAGTTATTACAAACTAATAATAGTTTATCGTAACACAATTAA